CTTAGCAGAGCAGAGGTACTCTGAGGCAGTAGGGGAGAGATGTTTGAATACTTCAAGTACTGTATAGCATTTTTTTTTCAATGACACAAGCTTTATAGGCTTTTGAAGTCTATTAAGTCATGCATCCTAAAAGAACTATTTTTAAGGATTTGTTTAAATTGAAGCATCAAAACTTGAGGGAAATCCCTTCAGATTTCCTAGATTTCTAAGAAAAATCTGTGATTCCAGCTTTCTGCTCATATATAACGTCTGAGGAGCAAGGAGAAACGAACAGACAAACAAAAAAGCACCTACATAAACTGATTTTTACCCAAGCAGTGCTTTACTTCATACCGTAGACCACGTCCACCTCCTGAAATAGTAACTGAGAAGAGTTCCCTCTTGTGGTTAGATATACCACTACAAAGGAAGTGTATAGTGCATTTCAGACCTACTTACAAAATGAAGGAAATTACGTACCTGAAAGCAGTAAGAATTTGCAGCAAACATGGGGATTTCCATTTCAGAGCAAAGCCATACATTCAAAAGTACTGATAAAATCTGTTTCTCACTGTCATAGTATTGAAAAGACTACTTAAATTTAAGTAGTGTTAAATTTTAAATTATCTTCTCTTTGAGCCTTCATCCAAAAGCCTGCAAGTAAAACAAAATTAATGATAAATACATTTAAATATCTGTATGTTACATACATACAGCACAACAATGTAATAGCTTTTAAGGCTTGCTTCTGGGAGGTAGAAGGGAGAGGAAACAATTCTACAGTATTTATTTAAAAAGCTGGAATTCTCATTCCTGTTTTTTTTTAAACTCCTCAGGCATATAGTATAATATATAATGATAAAGAGAGAATAATACAAATTTTTCAGGGGGTACCTATGAAAACTTGCACAGTTTGGAATATTAAGTACAGTACTGAGTAGAAATAGAACAGGGAAATGAATGAGGTAATCAGAGGTTTGGGATAAAGGAAATCAAAGGCATGTGAATTTGAATGACTAGTTAGAGACCTAGAGAAATTATAAACACTGCTGTTATTACTACATATCTAGAGAAACACAACATCTTTGAAAGAAAAGATGACTCAGCTAATATATCATAAAACCTCAGCAAGATAATGCAAAAGATTCTTTCGTTTAGTAAAAAAAAAAAAAAAAGAGAACGAGAGAGAAAGATAATGGGAACATAATGATCATTGATCAGGAGGATACAGTTGAGATTTGAGTTTTGTCAATCAAAAACTTTGTTGTTGTTGTTGTTGTTTTTTTCTCATATAGGACTTCTGAGATCAAAAACTGACCAAAATGTAGCTGCCTCTTCAGTGCTTCAGTGAACCCAGAAAACCTCACTGGAATGGTAGGGGGGTCACATAGCAAAATTGTTTTGTTTTGTTTTGTTTTGTTTTAAACAATAGTTTATATGTAGCTCAAGCTGTTTATGCCACTCTGTCTGCAGTTCTGAAGCAGTTCTCTTCCCCAGAACAAGGCAAATGTGGGCATACTGGAGCAAGTCCAGCAAAGGGCTGGTAGCACAATTATATGACAGGAGCATATCCTAGAACAGTTTGCATTGGAAGGGACCTCAAAGATCATCTAGTTCCAACCACCCTGCCGTGGGCAAGGTTGCCAATTGCTAGATCAAGCACTAGATCAGGTTTCCCAGCGCATCATCCAACGTGGCCTTGAACATGTCCAGGGATGGGGCATCAGCAACCTCTCTGGGCAGCCTGTTCCAGCACCTCCCTGCTCTCTCAGTGAAGAACTTCCCCAATACCTAATCTATGTCTCCCCTCCTTTAGTTTAAAGCCATTCCTCTTTGTTCTATCACTATCTACATGTGTAAAACATTTATTTCCTTCCTATTTATAATCTCCCTATATATTTGGAGGCTGTAATGAGGTTTCCCTGGAGCCCTCTCCTCTCCAGACTGAACAAGCCAAGCTCCTTCAATCATTCATTGTAGGAGAGGTGCTCCAGCCCTCAGATAATCTTTGTGCCCCTCCTCTTGGATCCTCTCCAACAGCTCCTCATCTTTCTTGTGCTGGGAGCCCCTGACCTGGACGCAGTATTCTGTGTGGAGCCTCACAAAGATGGAGTAGACAGAGACAATCCCCTCCATCGCTCTGCTGCCATCCCTCTTTTGATACAGCCCACGATATTGTTGGCCTTCTGGCACCTAAATCCTTCTTGGCAGGGCTGCTCCCAGTGAGTTCTTCTCCCAGTCAGTATATGTATCCGGGATTGCCGTGACCCAAGTGCAACGCTTTTTGAACTTGGCTTTGCTGAACATCATTGGGTCTATTTTGGCCCATCTTTTGATTTTGTCAAGGTTCCTCTGGAACACCCTTCCTTTTGGCATAACAACTGCACCAGTCAGTTTGGTGTCATCTGCGAACTTGCTGAGGGCACACTCAATCCCATTGTCTGTAAAACTGATTAAGATGTTAAACAGTACTGGTCCCAAAACTGACCCCTTGGGGGACACCACTCATCACTGGTCTCCACCTGGAAATAGAGCCATAGGCTATATCTCTCTGGCTACGACCTTCCGACCAATTCCTTATCCGCTGAATAGTCCAGTCTTCAACATTATAGGACTGTTGGATGAGGAGTGGCTGAGAGACAAGTCTTTTCAGTCTGGACAAGAGAAGGTTCAGAAGAGACTGACATCAGCATGCACAAATATCCTACAAGAGGATATAAAAAAGACAGAGCCAAATTTTTCTCAGTGGTGTCTAGTGAAAAGCAATGCACACAAACTGGAAAAATAATAATAATAATAATCGATTTTAAACAAAAGGTGTGGATTTTTGTTGCAATTATTTTTATTTTATTTTTTCTTTTCCTGTAGGGATGACTGAATGCTTGAACAGGTTGCCCAGAGAAGTTGTGAAGGCTCCATCCTTGGAGATATTTAAAATTCAACTGGACAAGGCCCTGTTCAGCTTGCTGTAGTTGCTCCTGTTTTGAGGAGGTCAGTAGAATAGATGATCTACAGATGATCCTTCCAAACTTCATTCTGTGTAAGGCCTATAGCATTAGATTAATCCTTTCTAACAGGACTCTAAACTGCAATGTGCCAGTGGAAACCTGAGACAAGCTGCAATCATCATGTATAAGACTTCTCAAAAGTCTTGCAGCAGAGAGTTGAATCTGTGAAAAAAAGGATGATCTCTGAATCACGTTTAAATTAAAGGTCTGGACTGGTGCAATGACATTTGAACAGCAACGCAATTTATCTCTCTAAAGAGTCGATATCAAAGAACAAATGCACGTTAACTGCCTTTGAGACAGAGACTGCAGATGAGAGGGAGCTTTTCATGCATTTCCTGGAGGCACTGCTCAGCTGCCATCCATAGCTGATTTTAGGAGTGGGAACGCACAAGTGTAGGAGGCAGTGCAGTCTTGCAGACGAGTTGGCTCTACAAATAGCAACTTAGATAAAACAGCGCACTAGAGAGGTGTAAACCTTCTATAGAAGTGGAAAGACTGAGCCTTGTTGTCGCTCGCACCTTGAATATAAATCAAAAAGGCAGCAGCGCCTGGTGCTATGATTTACCCAACCGCCTTCCCGTGGCACAGGAGGGCTCCCTAGCATCCGAGGTGCTCGGCTAGGATTTCCGCGGGGAAACGCCAGCTCTGCTGGCGGCCGCGTAGCGCTGCGGGCAGGGCTGCGAGTTCCCGCCTGCGTGCGGACCGTGCCAAAAGCGAGCGCGTGCGAACTGCCCTCCGCGCCCCTCCATCTATGCGGCAAAACGAGATCTAACAGAGCACGAAGACGCGAGCGCTAGCGAGCCGGCGCAGCCAGGCTTCCCGCAGCGTCACAGGCCCGACGCAACCCGATCGGGCCAGCCGGAGCACGCCGGCACAGACGCCCCAGGGAGGACCGCGGCGTGACTCGCCCGCGGCGACACCTCCCCCCCTTCCCCCCCGCCGCGGGCCAACAGAAACCCCGCGCAATGCGGGGAAACCCTCGCCGCGACACTGCGCACGCGCACTGCGACCGCACTGCGTCGCCGGTGCCGCTTGGCCCGGCGCCAGGGGAGCCCCGCGCCGGCAGCGGGGCGGAGCGGTGGCCGCGTCGACCGCCTATTTATAGCACGGGAGCCTCCCCGCTGGCCCGTGGAGCGTTCTCTTGCGTCTCCGCGCTGTGCGCGCCGTTTCGGGCAGGAGGCTGAAGCTCTCAGCCCCTTGGCAAACAGCAGCGGTTCCGTGCGGAGCCGGCGTGAGAGCCGGCTGCGGGGCGGCAAGTAGCTGCGGCCGTATCAAGGCGCGTCAGTGAGGGTTTATACCCTGAGGGTTTGTGAGCGGAGCCCCGAGCGGTGTCGCTTCACAGCGCACCCAGCACAGCGGGTGCCGCAGCCGAGCGGCACCTGCTCTCCGTTGCGTGAGGGCGGCGCAGAGAGTCCCGGTCCAGGGCCGCGTACCGAGCTCCTTCGATCTCGGCAGAGCTACGAAGTGCCGGAGGTTCCCTTCTCAGAGAGCGGGCAGCCCCCGCCAGGCCGCGCTGCCAGCACCCGGGAAACTCCGCATCGCGGCTGCCGGCGCGCGGCCCCTCCGCGGGCACCGGGGGAAGCGAACCGCGCGAGCCGAGAACGAGGCGGTGGCGAAAGCCCTGCCTGAAGCCTGCCGCCGACGGCGGAGCTGAGGCAACCCGGCCGGTCCTCAGTGCTTCCGCGCCGTCCGTCCGGCGGCGGAGCCGCGCACTTTCGCGGCCCGGAGGCGGGCGGGCGCGCGCACGTCCCGGCGGCAACCCGGCTCCCGCGCCAGGGCTCCCCGACCCCGCCTAGCCGGGACCGGAATCGCCAAATAAGGAGCGGGATGTCTCCGCCGGAACCGAGACTTATATGGCCGCTTCCTAATATGGAAAGGGCGGCCGAGGCTTCCGGCGGGCAGGCCGGGGCAGGCGGGGGCCGGACGGCGCGGGCCTCAGGGCCGGGGTAGCTGAGGCGATGCTGCTCGTGGCGGGACACCGGGCCGCTCCGGCTGTGAGGGCCGTGGCGGGCGCGGGGCTCTCGGTCTAGGGCGGGTGGGGCCCCCGTCGCCCGGCTTTCCCCGGTGCCAGGCGCTGACGCCAGGCGGGGTCCTCCGGCTCGCCTCCAAATAAGGGCTTCCTGCTTCCCATATATGGCCATGTACGTCAGGGCCGGGGCGGGCTGCGGCCGGTGGGATCCGATATATAGAGGCTGCTCCGGAGTGGGCGAGGAGCCGAGCGCTACCAGCGGGCAGCGGGGGGAAGCCCCGGGCCGTCCGGCGGGCGGGAGGCGATCGCTTCCAGCGGGCAGCGCTGGGCGGCCGCGGCGCAAGGGCAGGCGGCAGGCAGCAGGCAACGGCCGCCTCGCCGCAGCCGGCCCGTCCTCGGGCCCGCGGCGGCGGCGTCACCCGTCGGAGCCCGAACCCGGCTCCCTCATGGCTGCGGCCAAGGGAGAGATGCAGCTCCTGCCCTCGCTGCAGATCTCCGATCCCTTCAGCGTCTTTCCGCACTCGCCTCCCGCCATGGACGGCCACTATCCCAAACTGGAGGAGATGATGCTGCTCAGTGGCGGGGGACAGCAGTTTCTTGCGCCTTCCGGGGCGCCTGAGAGTGCGGGCTTCGGCGTGGCCGGGGAGCCCGGCGAGCAACATTTTGAGCACCTCGCGGCAGGTAAGCGTGATGGCCTCGCCCGGGCGGGCAGGGGAGTCCTGGTCGACCGCGGAGGCGGCAGCGCCCACGGGAGCTCTGAGCCGCAGCGATGTCTCTGACCCGGCGGCTGCGCGGGGGTATCTCCTATGTTGTGCGTCAGCGGCTCTAGGCTCGTTGCTGCTGGAGACCTGCCAGCGGCGCTGCAATATGTTGCACTCAATTATTAATTAACCAGAAGCAAAGATCTGGGGCTGCGCTGCGTGGGGATGGCTCGTGAAGCACTGGCAGGAGCTCCAGAGCTGCAGTGGCTGCTAGAAGTAATCACTTCTCTTCTATTTTCAGACACTTTTCCTGAGATCTCCCTGAACAACGAGAAAACCATGCCAGAAACCAGCTATTCCAACCAAACAACACGGCTACCGCCAATTACCTACACGGGGCGCTTCTCCCTAGAGCCGGCCCCAAACAGTAGCAATTCCTTATGGCCAGAGCCCCTCTTCAGCCTTGTCAGTGGGCTGGTGAGCATGGCTAATGCACCTCCCACCTCTACACCCTCTTCATCATCACCCTCCTCTTCGCAGAGTACCCCCCTGAGCTGTTCTGTCCAAGCCAGTGAGAACAGTCCAATTTATTCGGCTGCACCAACTTTCCCCACTTCCAGCTCTGATATATTCCCTGAACCACAGACCCAGTCCTTTCCCAACCCCTCTGGAGTCCCCATCCAGTATCCACCTCCAGCTTATCCGACTGCTAAAACCAACTTCCAGGTGCCAATGATCCCGGATTACCTGTTCTCTCAGCAACAGAGTGAGCTCAACCTTATCTCAGCTGACCAGAAGCCCTTCTCAGCCCTTGAAACCAGAGCACAGCAGCCTTCCCTCACACCGCTGTCCACTATCAAGGCATTTGCCACACAGACTGGCTCTCAGGAGTTGAAGACCCTCAACACTAACTATCAGTCCCAGCTGATCAAGCCCAGCAGGATGAGGAAATACCCTAATCGTCCCAGCAAGACACCACCTCACGAACGGCCCTATGCTTGCCCAGTGGAGTCCTGCGACCGGCGATTTTCACGGTCTGATGAACTAACTCGTCACATTCGCATCCACACTGGACAGAAACCTTTCCAATGCCGCATTTGCATGCGGAACTTCAGCAGGAGTGACCACTTGACCACACACATCCGCACACATACAGGAGAGAAGCCATTTGCATGTGACATTTGTGGCAGAAAATTTGCCAGAAGTGATGAGAGGAAGAGACACACTAAAATCCATCTTAGGCAGAAGGACAAGAAAGTGGAAAAGGCAGCTTCAGTCTCAACTACTTCTTCCCCTGTTGCTGCCTACTCATCCTCTGTGGCTACGTCCTACTCTTCCTCCATAGCCACCACTTACCCCTCACCAGTGCGCACAGTGTATTCCTCCCCTGCTTCCTCTTCCTATCCCTCCCCTGCACACACGGCATTCCCATCCCCATCTATAGCAACCACGTACCCCTCTGTCACTGCCACTTTTCAGAGCCAAGTGGCCACTTCCTTCCCATCTCCTGGGGTTACCAATAATTTCAGCTCACAGGTGACTTCAGCACTTTCAGACATGACATCAACCTTTTCTCCAAGGACAATTGAGATTTGCTAAGATTACCTTCTGGAACAGGAGCATTCACCTCTTCCACTGGTACTATGAGACATGGAGTCTTCAGTTACTCCCCCAACACTGTATGTTGCAAGGCTATCTAATATTTCTTTAAAATTCAGCTGCCTGAAAAAAAAAAAAACTGCTGTTTAAGTTTTCCACCACTGTTGATTAACTTAATTTGCATGGACTGTGGATATAAGTTCAGTATAATTTTCCCCATAAACAAACAATAGTATTTTATTAGGAGGAAAGGACCTTTAATTAAGCACATAGCTGATGTAAATTGTATGTGTGCCATGGTTTTGCTTTCCTTTAGGTACTGTTGATGTTGAAAAAGTTTTGCATATCCATGTTGTATTATTTGGAGTTTGCAGGGCCATATTTTGTAAATGTTAATTCTATTTTAGTGGCAATGCTCTAACGAGTTTTAAACTTCTTTGGGTACAGCACTTACTGTATTTGAGCATGTAAGAGTGATGTTATGTAAAAATCACCTGATAAGACACTCAAATGTGGCAGAAGTTTTGTTTTTAAAGTTACAAGTCTTGGTGCCTTTTTGTGAAGCCTTGCTGATGTCATGCATTTGTGTGAATAGATGCTTTGCATCTTGCCTTAAAGCAAAAGGGATGTTATGCAAAGAATGTAAGAGAAAGCAGGGAATGGGTGGGGAAGGGAGAACTAGTATGCCCCGGGAGACAGAATATAAGCAAAAAAACCCCACAGAAACAAATAAGAAACAAATTAAAAACAACAACAACAAAAACAAAACCCCACTTCTCAAAGTCTATTTTTGTTACAAAAATGTAAATTTATAAGTACATATATTCAGGAGTTGGAATGTTGTAGTTACCTACTGAGTAGGCAGCAATTTTTTGTATGTTATGAACATGCAGTTCATTATTTTGTGATTTATTTTTACTTTGTAATTGTGTTTGTTAGAATGAAAGTGACTGTTTGGCTTCTAAATACATTGAATGCGCTTTCCTGCCAATGGGATATTTGGTGTACCAATGTCCTTCAGAAAATGTAATAAAAAACAAAATCAAATCATGTAAGTTTTCACATTTTCCTTTAAGCTGCCACATAAGAAGCCTGCTGCAGCAAACCCGACTGCTAGGAAGTAACGGGTGCTATTTGTTTCCTGGAGAAGTACCTTCATGAAGAAAGGAAGGAGTATCAGTCACTCCTGTGTCCAGAAATGCTGTCAAAAGTGTGGATACAGCAAATGCCCTTAAATTGGTTGCATCATCTACTATTTGGAAGTAATCACAATTCCTGTTTTCTGGCTTCTCCAGAAGCATGTGAGCTTATCACAGAAAGAAACACAATGCTCCCAGTGCTGAAGGTGAGGCTTAAAAGTCAGATTCTCAGCTATGCAAAGACCTTACTGGGTAGTAGAAAGGGGATGTCAAGACAATGGCACAGTTTCCAGGCTGAAAATAAAATAAGCTCAGTATGTGTGGCTGATGGATGGAAGGCAGGGAGATGAGAGTTGTCATAGCTTCTTCTGTTGCACAGCACAGGGCATAAGAAGTGCATGTGCTTGATGGCCTTTAGTACAAATGCTTTAGTGTTTGGAGAAGGAAAATGCATCCTTATTTGATGGTTTAAAATATATTTCAGAGTGCGTGAACTCCCTATGGAGTGAATTCAGAGGAGTTTGCAGCTGTGAGAAGTAGCAGTGCAGATCTAGAGGAGGGTTCTAGTGTCAGTCCTTCCAGGTAGGTTCTTTAAAGTACTCGATATCTACAGCTGTGAGGAGCTGAGAAGTAAATACAGGAGTTGATGCCTATATCTGGCATAATGTTCAATGGGAAGCAGTTTCTGTAGGAGATAGCACACCCTAATACTTGCCAAAGTCAAGTCCACAGGCTTAGAAGTGCAACAAGCTGAATTCCCTGGCTAGTTCCTCTTGAATGCAGTCCTTAGATTTTGGTCTAAACCGTGGCAACTTTTGCTTTGAACTGTTTGTCCACATGCATGACAGGAACAAAAGAAAACACGTGGCCTTCTGTGCCTGGTCTTTTTGTGGCCTTTGTCCAGGAATAGGGAAGTAGATTTCAGGGTTTCTGTGCATATTCTGTGAAGTCCTCCTGTTTCATGCTGGTCTGAAGAGGACAAGTCTTAAGGAGTTTACTCCGTAGTTTTATTGGGAGCGTGAGAATTTTTTTTTAGAGGAGGCCACAGCGCCGCTAGAAATCTCTCCCAAGGAGCTGTTTCCGGGGAAGCAGCAGGCATTGCCAGCGGCTGGGAAACTTCCCCCCTTCTGAGCAAATACGGTCTGGAGCCGGACAAGACGCGTGCTAGGGGCAGCACAGGCCCTCTCGTCAGGCCGCTGTCAGAAAATTCGTTTGGCTGATTTAAACCTCGGCGGTCTGTGATTTGTGACTAGCTTCAGCTGTGATTATTAGTGACAGAAAAAAAAAAGTGCGTCATCGCTGGCAGCAGCACAGCTGATCTCGGGGGCACCGCGGGGACCCGGCGCGCTGTTCGGGAACGGCACCCGCGCCGCCGGAGCCGGGCCCGGCCGGGCAGCGCACACCGCGCCGCTGAGGGAGCGCGCCGGCGGCAGGCCGAGCCGCGTCACGCAGGCACGGAGCCGCCAAGGCCGAACGGAAACGCTACTCCAGCGGCGGCCGGAACCGGGACCACCATATTTGGCGTTTCCACCTCGCCTTTTATGGTACTTCCGAGGCCCAAAAAAGGCGCTTCCTGCTTCCACCCTCCCGGGACTGCGCGATGGATTTTCCGGGAGCCCGCTGCCGTGAGAGCTGCTGCCGCCTCGGTGCGGTTCCGCCCTCGCCCCGGGGGCGACACGGCGGGTTCCTTGCGCGCGGCGGGCCCCGAATTGGCCGCGGGAGGCTCTGGGTTTGGGCAGCGTCTGCTTCGCCCGGAGCCCAGCGGTAGGCCCGGAGCCGTTCGGACGCCCAGCGCAGGGAGCTGCGGCTGAGGGCCCCTGACCTTCCCTCGCTCCGTGTGTCGGTGCGGTTTCTTTCGTAGGGGCTTTGTCGCTTTGTGCACGTCCGCCAGAAATAGGTACGGCGCATTTTAACCCGAGGAATGCTGAAGAGCCCGTTGCCCACGTTCAGCTAGGCTTTTCTTCTGTAGAGCCTTTCCATAAGCTGCTGTTCGCTTGGCGAAGTGGGGGCGGTCCTTGCCCAGGTGGTTGTTTTGTTCTTCTTGCACTGCTCGGCCTCAGAATCTTTCTAGAAGAATAGATTCTTCAGCCGCTTTCCGTTTAGGAATAGAGGGCTATAAGTCAGCTCTGGTGATTCTGAAGAACCTACCTTCCCCTTGTGTGCTGTGTGGCCTGTTGCTTTGTGCCTTGTTGTGTTCTGGAAGTGCTACTAGAGATAAAAGTTGTTAAATACAACTGTAAAGCAATTTTAGTTGCGGCTGTGGATTGAAAGACAAGCACTCCGTAGTGAATGAGTTTAGTTCTAGCACTTCTGATGGCGGTTCTTACGTAGTCAGAAATCTGACAAAGTTCAAGGAAACGTACAGCACAGCAGCGTTTTGGTTGATTCTGTTGGTTAAAGGTTTCGGCTGTGGTTCTTATTTTTGTGTAAGTAAGCTTGAGGTGGTAAGAAATTCCAGGTGTACTCAGGTGAACTGGAAAGCTGCTATGAGTCATGGAATTTAATGGCAGAAGCTTTCTGTAATTCTGACATTCTTCTCAAGGACAAGGGCATTTTGTGAACAAAACTAGGTCCCAGGAGTTGCAGCTGTGGCTGTAACATGCCAGAGGTCTGTGGTGCCATAAAGTGAACACACAAAGATCTTTATTTTTTAAAATGTGTCAGCATGAAAATGGAATAGCTAATAAGTAAGCAAATGTTGATTAAAAACTTGCTAAGAAAACTGTCGTAATTGATCAAAAGAAATCCAGTTTCTGGTCTGTTGTTAGAGGTAGTCCTGGAATATTCTTCGAGCAGTTGTGACCTGTGGTTAATAAATTTCACGAGCTGGAGCCTCTCTTTGTGTTTTTTGTGTAACTCTATCCAAATGATTTATGTAGTTGGCAAGGTGACAGTATTCATGGTATTTGATTGAAAAGTGAGTATTAGCATATCCAGGTGCTACAAGAAGTAGAGACTTGTGTGTGCTTAAACTCTCTACTTCATAATGTAGTTTGATTACTATTAAGACTTATTGCAGAACATGAAGAATAATATAGTTTCTGTGATAGGGGAAACCAAGTTCTGTAGCTTCTTTGTGCTCTTTGTGGTTGAAGAAGCATAATCTGTTTTGTACAGTGAGTAGTTTGTACCTCCTGTCATCCTTTCCCGTACCTTGTGTCATTCTCCTTTATTGTTTCTGATAAGTAGAGGCCTGCACTATCCACAGTATTCAACATGTCCCTGCTTGAGCAGGTTTGGCCAGATGACCCCCAGAGGTTCCTTCTAACCTAAACCACTCCGTGATTCTCTGATGTAGGATGAATATAAATTAATTGAAGTATATATTTTTGTCTCCTATGTTGTTTATTACTTGCCAGGTATTTCCAGACATTCCATCTGGCTTTTGAGCAGTGATCTGATCACTCCAGTCACTCCAGAGTGTGTGGAGACAAAGTAGTGAGAGTTGGCAGAAGTGAAGAGAGGAAATATGGCAACAGGTGAACCTCAAATAACTATTAGTGCAATAAATTCAAGATTATTGCATGTAGAATGGAAACCAGAGAGAAAAAAAGCCTCTGGAGAGAAGTCTTTTGCATTATGGGGTGTCTTGTTGTTGGAATCCTGTGTTACAGGAAGTTGAGGCTGCCTTGTAAACTAAAGTCTTTATGTTAAAAAAAAAAAAAAAAAAAAAAAAAAAAGTTAACAGTAAAATATTCCCCACTTGTAGGATGTGTTGTGTTTAGTAGTTCTTGTAGTAGTACAGTAGGGTCTCAGGTGTTCCTTTTCTTGCTTGGAGGAAGGCACCTCTGTGAATATATTTCCTTATTGCAACATATTTTTATATGGGAAGGACAGACCAAACACCCTGCAGTTTCTGCTTTTGAAAGGCAGTGGCAGTGAATGGGTGAAACACTAGGTGAGAGAAGGCTGTCATTGTTATCATAACCAGCAGACCAAAGAGAGAGGATGGGATGCTCTGTCTGAATTTGTGCAAAATGACACAGTTGTCATGGCAGGAGATACAGACAGAGTACATACTCTTTTTCTCTGAAGATGAAGTTGCCACCATTTCAGTCCTTATCACAACTTTAAGAGAGAGTACTATTGTGGTGAAACACTGTTAACAAGCTTTTAAACTTATTTTACTGTTTATCGCCTACCTTTGCATGTCAAACCTCCGTATTATTTCACAAAATTTATTCTGTTGGTCAAGGGGTAAAGGACTGTGGTGTTGCTGCTTATTGAAAGGCGTCTTGTAAGTTCCTCTTGAGCACAATACAGAAACCACTGTGTAACATCCCATCTCTTGCATCTCTGTTCTCTCTTCCTGTCTCTTTTTCATCCATAACGCTAATCCAGAGCACAGTGTTTGGAGTCACTGTGGCATACAACCAAGAGCATTTGTGGCTGTCCAACGAGAACCTGATTGTGAAGCTTCAGGCTTGCTGTTGAGGCTATCTTGTTTGTCAGGAATTCGATTCCAGAGTGAGTTTTTTGAAGAAGCAAGTTCCAGCAGTCACTCACATCCAGGTATAAAATCCCTTAATTTTGCTAGAAAATTGCCAGATGCTCTCTATATGCACACTTATTGACTAGTTTTGTTCAACAAAAAGTGTTGTCACACAATTAGATACCTTCTCCTCGTTTTGTGGATTATTGAAAGGCATTTCCTTCTCCCAAAGAATCTCTTTGTGTAAGTTACTTCTCTTAGCAATACATGAACAATAAATTCTTCTCAAGCAGAACAGAGAGAGAGAGAAAAAGCACATCTGAGAAATGTTCACCTATCATTTCACCATCAAATTTGGTGTTTTGGAAATAGGACAATATGAAGTATGTGTAGTGGAAATGCTAAGTCATGGCCTGAAACATGCTGGTGAGAAGGCAAGGCCAACCCATGAGAGCTCAGGTGCAAGCAATGTGCCTGAGTGATTGGAAGGAGTGGAGCCAGGATCCACCTCTTCCCAAACCTAATTTAAGGATTGGCACTGGAGGTGAGAGCTTCTCTTGCTGGAGATCTCTGCCTACCTGAGGCCGCTTCTATTTAATATCTTTATTAATGATCTTGATGAGGGGGTTGAGTGCACCCTCAATAAGTTTACTGATGGCACCAGTTTGGGAGGGAGTGTTAATCTGCCAGAGGGGAGAAAGGCTCAACAGAGGGACCTGGATAGACTGGATCGATGGGCCAAGGTAAACTGTATGAGTTTCAGTAGGGCCAAGTGTTGGGTCCTGCGTATTGGTCACAACAACCCCAGGCAACCCTACAGGCTTGGGGAGGAGTGACTGGAAAGCTGCCTGATGGAAAGGGACCTTGGTGTTCTGATGCACAGTCAGCTGAGTATGAGCCAGCAGTGTGTGCTGGTGGCCAAGAAGGCCAATGGCATCCTGGCTTTTATCAGGAATGGTGTGGTGAGCATCCTGCCCCTGTACTTGGCATTGGTGAGGCCTCACCTCGAGTACTGTTTTAAGTTTTGGGCACCTCAGTACAGAAAGGACATTGAGGTGCTGGAGCAGATCCAAAGAAGGGCAACAAGGCTTGTGAAGGGCTTGGAGAATATGCCCTACTAGGAGCTACTGAAGGAACTGGGGCTGTTTAGTCTGGGGAAGAGGAGGCTGAGGGGAGACCTTGCTGCTCTCTTCCAATATCTGAAAGGTGCTTACAGTGACAGTGGGGCTGGTCTCTCCTCACTGGTGACAGGTAACAGGACGAGGGAAAATGGCCTCAAGTTGTGCCAGGGTAAGTTTAGGTTTGATATTGGGGAAAAATTTCTTTACAGAAAGGGTTGTTAAGCACTGGAATAGGCTCCCCAGGGAGGTGGTTGGGTCACCATCCCTGAGTGCATTTAAAAACTGTTTGGATGTGGTGCTCAGGGACATGATTTAGTGGTGGGTTGTTAGAGTTAGGGTAGTATGGTTAGGTTGTGGTAGGACTTGATGATCTTTAAGGCCTTTTCCAACATGAGCAATTCTATGATTCCCAAGGTAAGAATCTCTTTTCTGAAGTTTTGTCACTTATTTTTACTTAATGCTGAAAACCCACCAGTGGGCATGGTTCAGAAATCTGTCTGCCTGCTCAATCATTGACCAGCATTTTCAGGAGGACCTTGAGCTGATGTAACTCTGTGAGGAAGTTGTAACTTTCATCCAGTATAATCAGCAACTTGAAAATGATTTAAGTTTAATGGACAACAAAACTGGGCTGCTAGTGGAAAAAAAAATGATGCTGCAAGATCAAAGTGTACTGTTAGGAGACGAGCAGAATGAATTGAGGCCAGTGGCAGTTAGTCAGTGCAAGGAGTTCGTGGCCTCGGATCTCACTTGTTCAGACTTGCTGGAAAATATTCCCCCAGACTTGCAGGTTTTCCTCCCACTTAGTTCATACTCTGTTACGCTTACTTAGCATGTATCCCTAGAAGGATGGTTGTAGAAGAAAAAGAGACAAGATCTGAAGCATTTTAAAAGCAAACAAATGAGCATAAAAGAAAACCCACACCAAACTGCGCTGACCCAATGAAGGCAACAGGCTGAATGGTGGAAGGCCTTGAGAACTGTTTTGTTCACTTGTGGTTATGTTGGTCATGAACTTGCACACCTTAATTTCTCACGCTTTGGATGCTGTATCAGAGGGTGGAAGAGATTTCAGAGCAGGAAATGTACTCTGACCACTTGGTGTTTATTGGCTGATGGAGGCCCCTCTGTCATTTTGCTGATGATTAATTTCACAAAAGCTCAATGACATCGCTGATGCAGCGGTTCCTTTTTTCATTCAAGCTGAAGATCTGGTACCTTTTACTTTGTTTGAATAGTACGGCGCTAGGTTTAACCCGGTGTGAAATTCTGAACCGTGGCAGTAAACTTCAGTTCCAAAGGAGGCTCCAACTCTCAGGCTGATGCTGGTAGCAAAAAGTGCCATCATTCTCAGAGTATGTAGAGGCAGTGAGGCAGCAAAATAGAAAACAGGGGTTGGGGCTTGAAGCCCAGTTTAGAAAGTAAGGGGTTTTCAAGCATCTTCAGGATGCTACCAGCTCTGACAGTAATCACTGCTCAGAGTGGTCAGTCCTTCTAGGGTTCTCAACAGACTCAGGAATTTCGGGCACAGGATGGAGAACTCACTGCTCCAACAAGTGACGTTCCTCTTCATCAGCCCCCGACATACCTTGCCTCTGTCTTTTCCACATGCAAGAAAGCAGACCCTCAGGCGCAACTTTTTCCAGTGTTGCTTGTTTTGGAATGTTTAAGCGTGGAATATGTCCCTCTCTCTCCTTTGCAGGATGTAGTTTCTCACAGCAGAAAGCTTTCTAAGGAGAACAAGAAGCAGCTCTCTGACATGATGATGCTGAACAAGCAAAAGGGAACTTGAAAGCTTTGAGGGAAGAGAAGAGGGGAGGAAAAAGCTGGAAGCCTGTCGACATCTTTTCTACTTCCTTCAGGTATGCAGCTTCTTGTGCTGCTCCTAGTGCACTCCTCTTGTCATAGAGGCTTCTGTGTGTCAGCGCAGTCTTTGCAATGCGCTGCAGCATTGGGGCATCACAGTTCTTTGTGGCGCTGGCCTTTGTGGACACATGCACCAAGCATTTTTCTTCTTGTTGTAGACTAGCCTGGTGTAGTTGGGCAAGCTGATTTTTTCAGATGCCTAAAAGCAAATGCACAGAGTTCATGGATTTGGTCATCTCCACGCTGTGTAACTGTGCGTCCAGTCAGAGAGAGGAATATCTGCTGTGTCAGCTTTCCCAAACAGCGCTGCTGGAGGAGATCAGGTATGTTGTAGCATAGGACACAGCCTTGCTGTTGCCTCAGTTTGGACAGTTTCTAGAATGGAAGCCTTTCTTGTGTGACGTCCCGTGCTAATTTGCAGATAATACTAAACTGTCCCTGCATTCTGCTCATTCTGTTTCACGTTAGTCCTTTCTATAATCTGGAAAGGACAAATTAACTTTGTTCTTTAGGGATTAAGCCGTTTGTCTTAAGCCCCTACTTTGTTGCTCAGGAAGGCACTATTTTTGATCTAATGTAATGCCTTCCTAAAATTCAGTTCAATCTAAATTCTCTGCTGTCTAGTAAGGAGGACTGCCAACAGATTGCAAGCTGGGGCGTTACAGGCCAGCAGTGGAGCTTAGAGGGAGGCCTCTGGGTTTTCAAAAAGGAATGAGAAGGCTGAGAATCAGGTGCTTTGTTTGATGTTTTCACTGGCTGTCCTACTTCAAGATTCTGTTGGTCTATAGGCACGTTGGCTTGGTGCTTATGACTTCAGTTCTTTATGATACAGAGCTGCACCACCTGCTGCCTAGACCAAATACACATTGTTGGAAGAGATTATTCTATGCATTATATATTTTTTTGTAATGCTTTTAAAGTGTGAGGGTGGTATATGCCTTCAAACAAGTAATGTCTAAAAGAAATGTATTTTTTTCTTTGTTCTTTTTTCTTTTTATTTTTTTTCGTGAGCAGTGGTTCAGGGAAATGTGGATGCTTTCTTCTCTGATGCTATGTTTCCCATAGTGTTATTGTAGGAATGGCTTCTGTTGTTGATTGCTTACTTTCTTATTTTAAATGCTGAAGGAAATATACCATTCTTTTTCTTCTGCTTATGTAAAATTCCCTTTGTTTCATTTGTAGATTTGAGTTGTGCCCTGGAACAGAATGTACAGCTGAATCTAGAACAGTTGCCAAAGAGGAGTCTGTGGGCAAATGGTGCTGGATTTCCCAGACGGAGGTCGTAAAGTTTCTTGCCTCCTCACAAAGTGTTCTCATATTTTTCTTAAATAGCATTGCATGTTACTGCTGTACTGAGACTTTTATGACAAATCCATTATCTGTTTCCCAAAGGTGATGCTGAGAAGCATGCCTCATGATGACCTATGCATACCTCACGTTTCATATTAATTCTTCCTTTGGGTCAAAAGTAGATCAAATCCTTGAAACGGCGCTGAATACCTGTCCCACTGTTATTAAAATAGTTCACCTGTGGTGCCTGTGGTCAGAATGCCCTGTGGCAGGTCCTGGCACCAGTTGTGAATGAAAGAACTGATGACAAATTGCTTGATATCATGACTGATCCAGTGGATATTTACAAACCTCAGGTGACCCGGGTGGGATCTCAGAGTGGTGAGGCCAGGTACGGTAGCTGCTACTACTGTGTTACTTATAAGAGTTGCTTGGCTGTTTTGCATTGCTCTTGTGAGAGGTAGATTGTGTTTTTGCAGTAGAAGCTTCCAGTATTTTCTGTATGTAGTATAGGCCTTTACTGAGATTGCAACCCTCTTGTGAAATAGCTGTTTTCTTTCCACTAAGTAAGTTGCTGAACAGAGTAAAAAGTTAAGATTTGGGGCATTCTGACTGGGGTAGAATTGAGCCAGGCACAAGGTAAGGCAAATATGCAGGGTGGGGAGAGAGCCCAGCACAGGACAGAACGAATGTGCTCACTCTTGGAATTATTGCCCTCCATGGAAGAATACAAAACGTACCCAAGAAACAACAGGTTGGTAATGGACCTTATCTGCAAATGTATCACAGCAACAGTGTTGGGGAAATAATGAGCCTGAGATGCTTAATGAGTGAGCACCAGGAGAGCATTATTTGCATCGGGTTTAGAGTATAGAACAGAATGAATTTCGAAGACCGGTGTGCAATTTCTCCCTTGCCAATAGGGTGCGCCCGTTACTGTAGTAATGATTAAACTGCTGCTATCAGTAAGATCCTTGTCTAACCTGAAATTTTTGGCTTTCAGTGTTTCTCACAAACGTGTAACCGAAACCAAATTTGGTTAATTGTTCCAAGCCGTCCTGGGCTTGGCTGCATACATCTGTCCGATTGATACCAGCTTTTTTTATCACCTCAGACGCTGGCTGAAAAAAATTGAATAATAAAAAGCATGACAACATCAATTTGCTGGTTATTTATTTATTGACATATATTCAGAAGCACATAGTGCAGGTTCGGTGGGTTTGTCGAAGATGTCCTTGGTTTTCTTTGTCGTTTTCCCTTCCCACCCTTTCTCTTCTGTGTTTTTCCTCTGCCGTTAAAAGACAAGCGATCGCTGGGTGCTGTGGTGCAGATCCACATCAATCCTACAGGTGAAGTTATTTCCACGGTCTCTGCTGCCATCGCGGGGCCAATCGGCCAAACTGCATCGAAGTTGTTTTTGTGGTCTGTGGTGCCCTCTCGTGGCTAATTGCGGGAACTGCGGATAATTTGTTTCTGCTGTCTCTGATGCCCCCTCGTGGCCAATTGAAGAAACAGCGAAGAAGCTGTTTCTGCCGTCTCCGGTGCCCCCACGTGGCCACTCGATGGAATTGCGGCAGAGTTTGTATGTTGTTGCAGGGAGCAGGACGCATGCGCTTAAACACGCGGAGGTGGTGTACGTACGTTCTTGTCCCTCTGCGCAAACGATCCGCCCATCTCTGTTATGCATAGTCCTCCAGGCAGCAGTGCGCATGCACCAGAAAGTTTTAAATAGCATACATTTTCGCGAACTCCTGAGATGCGGGCGAGCAGTCTATTGTTGGACCGCCGACTCAGCAATGGGTTTCTCTCTTCCAATCCGCAGTGCACCTTGTCTGTTTTCTTGGGCGGTTTTATTCCCGAGTCTGCTACGAGAACGGACGATTTAGGCTCGCAGCAGGCCGTGCATCCGTCAAATGCCTAGCTGTGTGTCCGAAAATGAGCATACGTAACCATGTGTGTGCGCTGCCGCGTGCGCAGTCCAGTGCCCAGGAAAGCGCATGCGCACTCCGGTGCCGGGACTGGCGCGCGTGCACTCCAGTAGCAAAAATACCGCAAGAAGAGTGCGGTGCGAAAACTGATACGTGCGCAGTGCTGAGCCGAGGCTGGCGCATGCTTAGTAGGGAGCTAACGTACTGAGGTGCCCAGTGGGTCGCATGCGCAGTGCAGTGCCGAGACTGGCGCATGTGCAATCCCGAGCGGACTACGACGCATGGACATTGCGGGACCGCGGATGGCACAAGCACGGCGCGGAACCACGGCTGGCGCATGCGCAGTGCGGTGCAAAGGCTGGTACGTGTGCAGTGCAAGAAGGTGGCGCATGTGCAGTGCGGTGCGATGAAAGGCGCATGCGCAATGTGATTCAGAGACAAACGCATGCGCAATGCCATGAGAATGCCGGCGCATGCGCAGCGCTCCAACGCGCTTCTCGCATGCACAGTACGGTATAAAAGATGGCGCATGCATTGTCTGGTCCCGACTTTCGCGCATGTGCATTGTTGTGCCCAGGATAGCGCATGCGCACTGAGTTACGTACTTCCGCATGCGTAGTACTGTGAAAAGGACGGCGCATGCGTTTTGAGGACCCACTGCAGCGCAGTGCAGTGGGCTGGCATGCGCAATTGCAATGCCGAAGCTAGCGCATGCGCACTGCGGGGTCGAGAGTGGCGCACGCACCGTGCTGGGCAGAATCCAGCGCATGCGTAGTGCTTTTTCTTTTTTTAAGACAGGCGCATGCGTGGCACTATGTCGTGTCGCATGCGCAGTGCGTATAGAGTCTGCTCATGCGCAGTGCGGGACCGACCCAGGCGAATGCGTAATGCTTTCTCGTGAATCACGCGTGCGTACTGTTGTCTGGGGAATTGCACCTGCGCGGTGCGGCACAGAGGCTGCCGCATGCGCAGTGCAGTTTCTAGATTCATACGTGCGTTTAACTATCCCGAGACTTGCTTTTATAAGAGTGCAGCACGCCAGTGCCGCGACGGCGAATGTCCGAGCTGCTCGCGTTCCATTGTCGCTGACAGTGCTTGTAAACGGCTGGGGGATGGTGCAGGGCTTGGGGTGGAAGGGGACGTCTGCGATTCTACTGAGACAGCGAGCAAATTGGATGCCACGAGGTGCTGAGGGCAGCTGTGAGTCAAACCCGTCCGCTCCCGAGTGGGCTCGGGCATAAATCGGCGGAAACAGACGAGGGGCATCCTGGATTAGAAGGGGAGAATATCGCTGAGCCGGCGGTCCGAGAATCGACTGCTTGCCCGTCCCCGTAGTGGTTTGTCGAAACAATTGCTATCTTTAAGTTGACCGGCTCATGTTCGCTGTTACCTGGAGGACCGATCACCATAGAGAGTGGCGGATTAGCTGCGCAGAGCGCTTAGAACGCCACTTCCGAACCTGTAGGCGTATGCGTTGTGTTGCGTGCGGAACTCAGCGACAGGCAGCGGCAGTTCCGCGCATTGGCCACGAGGTGGCAGCAGAGACCGCGGAAAGAACTTTTCTGACGGATTGCCGGGGACCCGCGGCGCAGTCCCCGGCGATCCGTTCTCTCTGTGTCTCGTGATGACGGGGGAAGAACACGAAGTTAGAAGTGGAGGGTGTGTGGGGGGAAAGACGAAGAAAAAAGAGGGAAACTTCTCCAAACCCAGGAGAGCTGTGCTAAGTGCTTATAAATAGCTATAAAAAAAAAAGAGGGTTTTTTTTTCTTTTTGCCAGCATCCGTTGCATTGTTTCTAAATGTTCACATACCAAAGTGTAACTGCCCAGCAAATTTAATGATAACGAAATTAAAGCCTGTTGGCAGAAAGCACAGGGCCGTATTAATGTTCACTCAGCTTCTGTCTCCTTTATACTTTAATGTATTTTTTTTCCAAGGGCCTTTCTTCAGCTCCAGGTTTCATTTTTGGCTTTTTATGACCCCACACATCAACCCCATGTCCCCACATGTCCCCTCATGTCTCCTCACCTCCCCCCACACTACCTGTCCCATTTCGCTCCATGCCCACGTCACCGTGAGGTTGAGGACAGGGACAGGGATGCCTGTGGGGTGCGTGGAGTCCTGGGAGAAGTTGATGGTTGTGCGCAGTGGGGTGATGGTGTCCTCCGCACACGGCTGTGACAGTGGGGGGGGTAGCGCCCCACAAGTAGGGGTCATTGCCCCCTTCTGGGGCAATGTGTGGCTTGTGCCCCACACATGCGGGCCGCTTGTATGGGGAGTGCATTCTGGAGATGATCTGTCTTTTCTCCAAATCTGCAGTGACTTCAGCAATCCCCTGTTGTGCCGCAGCAGAAATGGGGTACTGCAGTACGTCAGTGATCTCTGACTCGAGGAGTGCAGGGGCTGCACGAAGTACGCACTCTACAGCCTCCCTATTTCTCTGGGATTTGGGATTGATGTTTGAGCCAAAAGGCTACACAGTGCCATGTGGGCAGGTGCCAGGTTCACCCACTGAGGAACCAAATCCTAAAATAATTTCACAATGGTCTTTAATTGCTGTGCAAGTAGATGACACAGATTTCTCACAGGGGAGCCATTAGCTGACACTGGCAGTTTGGCAGACAGCATTCGCTCCATTCACACCGGTAATCTCAGCCCCCTCAGAAGTTGCACATGCAGCTTCTCAGCATCTTGCTGTATCAGTATAGAAATCTGTGCTCCCCTATTTATTAGAAATGCCACCAATTGCCATTGAGGACAGACTGGAATCAAAACATGTGGACCATCCTAGCTTGTCCATTGATACCCCCCCCCCGGCCAGACAGGCAGACCCAATTGGCTGCCAGTCATTACTTCATCCCCCTTTTTTTTTTTTTTTCATGCTTTTATGGGAACTTTGAGATCACAGCCGAAAGCAGTGATGGAGAACCTGGTGTGGGGTGTAGCCCTGCAAGCACAGGTGGAAGCAATGCACCTAGAGGACCAGATGAGGCTGAGCCTGGCTCCAGCCCCTCCCTCTCCTCATTTAAAGGCTGGCAGCTCTTAAAGGCTGGGTTTCTTCCTGGAGACTGCCTCCTGTGGATTGTTGGGTAAGCTCTGGTTCTTGGAAAGAGGTAAGTGATTCTTTTTTGCAGGGTTTTGGTTTCTGCCTTTCTGTGGGGATCCTAAGTTGGTTTAGAGTAGCTATGTCTGCTATGCCTCTCCTTATGATGCCTTCCAATTGTTCTCTGAGGAGAGTGAAGGGGTTATCTGCTTTTCTCTGAATTGGTAACGGAGGGACTGATGTTCGTTCCTTCCTTTTACTCTTATCTCGTGTCTGGAATGCTTCAATCAGCCCCAAAGTAATGCTGGTTGGCTGACTGAGCATTGCAACTCTGGAAATGCCTGGAGATAATGCACTTTTCCGTAAAGAGATTCTGCATTCTCCAGGTTTCCTTTGCAACTCTTTTCAAGCCCAATACCTTCTTGTGAAGTCTCTGTTCCTCTCTCGTGATTCTCATTGCATAATCTCCGACCTGGGACTCCAAACTACCACATTGTCCCAACCTATTTTATGACACGTTCCCTCTGTGTCCTTGTGTCTTACTTGTGTCTCTGTGTTCTCCCTGTGTCCTCTGCCCGTGTCCCCTCTGTGTCTCCTGTGCCACATATTAATTCCACCCATGCTGAGTATTGTTTAAGGGCACAGATTTAAATTATGTTCCGTGTCTCTTTGGATCCCGTTCTGTTTTGCAGCACGATGGGGTTTAAGGGCTTCTGGGGCTCTTCTAGGTAGTGGTTTAAGCACTGTGAAATCTGTGGAGCAGATAATGGAACACCATGAATCCCTTGTTCATGCATTGCTTGTATGCAGGTGGGTTTTGTGCTGGCTGTGGGACGCTCACTTAAAGATGGAATGGGGGTCACAAGGGGCTCGCCTTGCTCCCTGGGGTTTATTCTTCCAGCCCAATAAGCTACGTGGCTGGTGATAGAGTGAGGTGCATGTATCAGGCTGGGACCTGAGCTTAAGAAAACCCCCAGCCCCGGTGGCCGTTTTCTTCATCCGCACGTAGTGTAATACAGTCTCCACTACTTGAGCATACTGAACACGAGTATTCTGTTGCTGTTCTGTCTGGTTCTCTCCTAGACCTCCCTTACAAATTTGTCAGTAGTAACAGATGTCAGGGCACAGTTCTCAGAGCACGCTGTGGCCGACCACCCGCAGATCCGGCTTCGTCTTTATAGGAAACAAAGGATTGTCTTCTGCTGGACCACTTCATCTGGATCGCCCCAGGTATCTCCATCCCAATTGTCAGGGGATGCTGTTAGTTTCCTAGTCTGTATGATAGCCAATCTCCCCACCCCTCTTCCTTCCATCCCCTGACTGCCATTCAGTAGCTAGCTCTGCAGCTATGGGACCCACCAGTGTGATGAAGCAGTACCTCTGGTGTGCTGAATACTGGCACTGGCACAGAGAGGCTCTATGGCTGATGTGAATCTTCCTGACTGGACTACTTGGTGAGTTTCCCCAGAGCTGTTGAGCACACAGGCTTCCCCACCTACCCTGACTGCTCACCAGGCCATCGGATGTCATTTGTGGGCATGGCTTCAGGTATCATACCAGAGACTCCTTAGAGTCACAGAATGTCCCGGGTTGGAAGGGACCTCGAGGATCGTGAATCTCCAACCCCCCTGCTACGTGCAGGGCCATCAACCTCCCCATTTCATACTAGACCAGGCTGCCCAGGGCCCCATCCAACCTGGCCTTGAACACCTCCAGGGATGGACGGGGCATCCACAGCCTCTCTGGGCAGCTGTTCCAGCACCTCACCGCTCTCTCTGTAAAGAACTTCCCCCTGACGTCCAACCTAAATCTTCCGTCCCTCAACTTAAAACGT